ATTTGAACATCATGATGTAACCGATATAAATAAGTGTATTGAGCTTTATTCTAATCTTTGTATCATTTAATCGAAACGTACAGGTAAGAAAAAAAAAGTAATCGTGCAATTCGTATTTGTTAGTACGAACCCTCACGCGAAAAAAGTCATCAAAATCGAGTTTTTACAGCCTCAAATTGATTGGATAAATTTCTACCAGAAATTCAAGCTAATTTTTTTAGTTCAGAATCTCGCTGGCCGTTTTGGGCCCAGGCCTAGATCACAAGATATTCACAAAACTAGCGCCACCTATATGATAGTTTCACGAATATTTCGTGATCTAGGCCTGGGCCCGAAACGGCCAGCGAGATTCCGAACTAAAAAAATTAGCTTGAATTTCTGGTAGAAATTTGTCCAATCAATTTGAGGCTGTAAAAACTCGATTTTGATGACTTTTTTCGCGTGAAGGTACGTACTATGTCGTTCTTTTGACCAAGGTTATAGAAGCATAAAATCATTTGATAAATTTTTTAGCGCTGTTGTCATCGTGAATCATGACATGCCTTGAAATAATCGTATTGGTTTTATTGATATTTAAGAAATCGATGATTCTTGACACCAACAAGATGATGAGTAGATCTCAATACAATACAGTCGACTAATATTTCGATTATCATTGTTTACTTATTGGCATAAAACATCAATATTGAAAATAAGTTTTTATCAATAATCACGATTATATTTTTCCAGTGGAACTCGTGAAATATTTTACGTGACATTTGAATTAAAATTGACAATAATATCGAGTTATTTTGTTAATTATTTGCTAAACATTTGATGATATTCATAATAAGATTTAATTTTTATGTATTGTGTTTAGTCTTAAAAAAAGAATATAAATATTTGTTGTTGGGTTTCTGAAATATGCAGAGATGGACTTGAAAATTGATCAAAAAAATCAAAGGGAGTTCAATTCATATTAAGGTTTCGAATAGGACTGGATGGCACAGAAAAAACATCCCATGCGAGAAGTTGCTTTGTTTCATCCAATGCTGTAGGTTTCAATGGATAATGCGTCTAGAATGAAGATTTTTTTAAACCTCTAATTGACTTTCATGATATTCTTTTTCTATCGTTCGTGCACTCCTCTATATGCTTTCGTTTACGTTCATTAACTTCACATATTAATTTTTTACCATCCATCAAAATCATAATGATTTCTTCAAAAACAAATTTGTCTTTAAGTTGTTGAGTTCTTGTTGAACTTCAACGAATACTATGATGAATTCCATCGTCACTGCATGAGATCCATTTGAATTAATTGGATTTCCTCAGGATTTAAGATCTGCTATGTTTTCTATAAAGTTTCAACATCATGCCTCTAAATATTAAAAAGTATTAATATAACTTCTTCAGTGCGTTTTCCATCCATCACTTCTTAGCTTCTGATAAGTTTACTTATTTTTTTAGATCACTGAAGATTGCTAAAGATCTTTTTACAATTTGATGCAATTCAATGGATTTCTTCAGATATTATTGGGTTCAGATCTAGTCTGTGCTTGTTATGAATTTGTAGAATACATGAGAAATTTTTATTGACCGATTCGTTTTCTTGGAATCAAAACTTGAAAAAAATTATGTTGGAAATTAAT